CCGAGTTTGTTCCTCCTTCCTGACACGCTTTACGGACAGCTCATGTGTCTAACGATAAGGTGGCTCACGCAAATGTTTAATAATTATAAATCTAGTTAAAAATTTACCAGAACATTCTAAAAAGCTTTAACTTTCGATTGCTATAAAAAAATTACAAGGTCAACGATGGAATTATTGAAAAAGGAATTTTATAAAAACTTCTTTTTTAATACGATCCTTATGGAACTGTAGTTGATACTGAAAAGTTAATCACTTGTTATTTAGTTACAAAAAATGACGTTTCCAGAAAAAAAAAAACTTTCGAAGGGGTCACACTTATATGAGACACCCTGTATAGGCGGGACATTTCGGGAGTGAGAGGATCGAACGCGGAAACGTACACGTGGGCCGCGGCGCGAGCCTAGTGTGGGTAAATTGGCGCGAAAAAATGTGTCCCCTCTTCACGATGACGGTTTGTCCTCGCAATTACGAGCCTCCGTCGCCACGACGGATCGGGATTAATTAATCTCGACCAGACTCGTCTCTACGTATAATTGTACGAATTTTCAGTGACCCTGCTTCGTTAATTGAGACATCCACGAGATGGAGAATCGACTCGGTGGATAATGTTCGAAGAGAATACGTTAGACAAGATGGCGACGTTCACACCAGTTGGTAATATTTTCAAACTAGGAGAATAGACTTGCGCGAAAAATTGAGATTTTCATGAGGGTCTATTCGATTATCAAAAATGTCCGTCTTCTGAAGGTTAAATGATCTTCGATTCTGGCGCAATTCGAAAAATGTCGCGTGTTCAAACTAAATGGCACGCAATTTTACATAATACCAGACAGATACTCAACAAAAGCGCGCTGTTTTCTCTGGGCACACACGTAAGTTTTGTTGCGTGCCGGGACCGAAGAGGATCGATCCGAAATCTCGATTAGATCCGACCGCGATACACAACGGCCCCTTTAGAAAATTGAAACACGAATTTCGGGGCGGGATAATTACGCGGTGAAACCTTTGAAAGAGGTATATATATATAGAAAAAGAAAGAAAAAATGACAGCAGGAAAGCTTTCAGCGGGAACGACCGTTAACACGTTTGAAATTTTGGGCGCGGGAACGACCGTTACACGCTTGAATACTCTGTCCCTGAACATTATCAGAGTTTACAAAGGGAACGATCGTCGAACGGAAAGGAATACCAAGGTTTTTGGGATGACTGTGACACCATCAAACGTGATTTACATCCTTCGAGTACAGACTCGACGATGCCGGTGACCGGGTCAATGATGACCCATAAGCTACAACACGTTAAATAGTTATTTCGGTACTGTCCGAATGGTTTAAACTTGTATTCCTCGATGGGTCACCATTGACCGGTCATAGGAACCCGAGGATTGAGAAGAAAAATTGTTGTTTAAAAAAGCGTAATAGGGTAAACTAACCAATGAGTGACCGAATTGTTGAATTTCTTGGTTTTGAAGAAACTTAGTTGTATAACCTTGCTATACGACACATTTTCATAACTTATTACAAGATTATACGTTTTGGACAAGTCTATAACAAGTTTGCATAACATTTCGCATCTCATTATTATTCATAATGGCATAACACTTGATGGATAACATATAAATTCCTATATAACACGAAGAGACAGTTACGTAACATCATGTTATATAACATTTTTTTTCTCTAACAAGTTTTATAACTTTGCTATGCAACATGTTATGCTATATAGTGGAGACGCAGCTTAAGCCCCCCCCCCTCCCCCGCGTCAAGGGAGAGCGTAATTTACCAAACTTTTTTTACGGCTCCCTTTCCACCGTCTTCCGACAGGCGGACTTTCTAACTCGTCCCGACAGAGACACACACATAGAACATCGCCTGGGCATTCGTTACGGAACAATTGTGCGAATTAAATGCTCACCTCGAACGATCCTTCGATAAACAGCAAAAGGATGGAGGAGTAGGAGCGTAGAGAGTAGAGGCCCATTGTTGGGCCGCAACATCCGTAAAATTATGCTAGAATCTATTTTCATAAGATATTTAACCCCTTGCCTCACGATTTTCTTGACGTCTGCAGTATTACTTTGTTGGCTGATAGTTTCCCAGAAACGAAAGGAATTCTATATACATTGCATCCGTATATTTACTTCTAAAATATTAAATATTAATACCATAAACATGGTGTTTCACTTCGGCTCAATGAAAACGAATAATGTTCATATTTACTGTGTCGATTTCGAAATCGTTAAAAAGGAAAAAAAAGTTATACCTCAATTGGCATACGATAAATTTGAATCTTTTTTGACCCAGTTACGTTTTCAATCGAAAATATGAAATAATGTAAATTATTTGACATAAACAAAGAATCGAAAATGGTTGTTTGAAAAAAAAATAATAATTGAATGTTAATATAAATTTGTTGGTTCGCTCCTAGTATTTCCCACGGTAAGACAAGGGTTCTCGATCGAAGGAAGGCGAACCTCAAAATGTCCAATTATTACGTTTCCTGGAGCCTCGACATTCAACGGCACGAGGAAGAAAGAAAAATACGACCACAAAAGGGCCCCCGGTAGTCGAACCATGCGCCATTGATTCAACGCCGAAGAATCGACTTTTCTTCGCTGGGCGGCACGAACAAAAAAAAAAAAAATAATAAAGAAGACAAGAAATCCAGCAGCGCGTTTGCGTGACAAATAATTCATTCGTGACTAACTCAGAATTCTTGGATCAAATCTTCTGAGGATCAAATGGACCGTGAATAATCAGAAATTTAATTCAGAAATAAAATATTCTAAAATCATCGATTTCAGCTATTCTGTACTTGTGTTATTTCACAATAACGAATGTATATGATAAATAATTAAAAATTTAATTTAAAATAATATTTTATTTAGAATATAATCCTAACTAATTATTTTAAATATAATTCTAAATAAATAAACCGAATTAGAATAAATAAAATACCTATTTTAGAATGATTAATTACAGGTATTCTATACCAAGAGCCTCTAAAGCTCTCCCGATGAAGGTTAAAAGTCCCTCGGATATTTCAAAAACAAATAAATAAATAAATGCTTGTCCGTAAATTCGAAATAAAATTCTCCGGGCTCTCTGATTTCGCTCGAGCCCGCGTCAAATATTTCCTGCGGTGGGCATATGGCGAGGGGTAGGGTTCCCAGAAATTTCCCACGGTCAATAGCTTTCATGGCGGTGATGCTCGACGAGTGGCTCGAGGGGCCTCTCTCTTCCCCCCATCCTTTCCCCTTCTGTCGCTCGTTATTCGCAACATTTTCGAAAAACGTCCCTTCCGGGAAGGGGCGTTTGGAAAACCAATAAATCTTGCGTGGAACGATGCACCGTTAGAGGACACGAAAAATTACGATGGGAATCGATTATAATTCCTCGAAACGACTGGAGGCGCTGGCTCCCTAAACCGAGGGAATCGACATCACAAGGAGAACCGTGGATCCTAATCCCCGGTTGAAAATGGGCTCCTTTAATTATCTCCTCCGTACCCCCTCCCCTTTCCTTAGTCCGTTGCCATATCGATTACCCGCTGCCATTTCGGCTAGGATAATTTCAGGCGAAATTCCGGAACAGATATTGTGCACAATAAATCGACGGTGAAAAGAATCGTAAAGTTCGACCACTGATCGCTCTTCAATGACTAGACCCGTCACTGAAAATATGTTCCTGTCGTAAATGTTGTAACATCGAGCCGGGAGTTGTAAAACCAACGATTGCTGAAAAAATATTTAAAAAGTTAAAATTGAAAGAATGGTATTCCAAAATAATGTAAATCCCATCATTCCTGTCGTACTTCCCACCGGGCGCCATTTTAAAAATTTTATTCTATGCACCGTTGTTAAATAACAGTTCACCTGGAACGGATCTCCCTAAAAATGTTCCGTTTGTCGACGAGAACACTCCCGAAGTAAACAGTGGTCCCATACTAATTTATAATTTTTAATAATTTTAAACGATGTAAAAAAAACTCAAGAGTTCTACTTCCAGAAATCGATAACTAATTTATTCGGATCTCACTATATGAATTTTCGGCTCCGTAAAAAAAGAAACATTCGTTCATTGACTAGCGAGTCTGCATTTATCCTTTGGGGTTCACGAAAAAAGAATGTCTACGAAACGCCGTGTAATCCTGCCATATTCTATCATTCGAAATCGAAACATGAGGCGCCTCGGCTAACCCCATATCTCGAGCAGAAAAAACAATAGCTGTCTTTCTCTCTCTCGGCCACCGGAAACGCATATTATATCGGATAAGGTTTCCGCGCGATGGATGCGCTGCTCTCTTCCCGCCGAAAGTTACACGTTACGTACGTTACGAACGTCCACACATACGTCCCTCTCGGCGGCTAGCTATACCCAGCAATGAATCACTCATTCAGAGGTTCGATTCGTCGCACGGCTGCGTGTCCGTGGCCGGTCGACGCCGTCGGATTGTTTATTCTCGCGTACGCTCGACGGAATAATCGCCATGGTGATGTCCCAAGCACACACACACACACACAGCTCGTATCCCTCTCACGATCCACAAAGCGCGGCAAACGTACGAATATCGCGAGATATATACAATATCGTAACAAAATACCGGTAATGTAGAAAAAAAAAAAAATTTTTTTCGATACACATCTTTCAGATCCGATTACTGTTCATGTATACTGTGTGTGTGGGAAACATCGAGTAAACAAAAACAGAACTGACGTGAACTCACGAATGCGTCGTAGTACGGTACGTAAACGAGGCGTAAAATGGAAAAACAAAAGGGACAACAGAGAGAGAAAAAATGAAGTTAGCATCGCGGATCGCCCCCCTTCGAGGATATATATGTATATACCATGTACACTACCGCTCGAGTCACTTCGTTTCGGGTATATGGCGGGCCGGTGGCAAGCGGTTCGTAGAATGTTTTTTTTCTCTCTCTAACCAGAATTTTCACGGCGAGAATCGCGGTACAGGGCGTCTGATAAAACGTGCACGATCACTTACCGTGTGTTCGACGATCCTTGAAGCACGTCGTCCTCCTGTCGTAACACCACTTTCACACATATATTTCACGGTTGGGACTCGCGCGGATTTTCGGCAGCGCGGCGCACCATGCATGAACGGAACACCGAGACACGGGGGCCCCCTTTACGGAACTGTGAAGTAACGTTGACACGGCTGGCTCGTGTGAACAAAGACCACGCACGATTTCAAATCCCTACGCGTTCATTGGCCCGGTCCGGTCACGTGACACCGTCGAGTGCGCGCCTATTGGCCGGCCGGCCGGGATTCGCGAGGACACTTTGAACGATGCAACGACGATGCACATGGCCGACAAAAGGGATGGCCACAGGCGACGGGATTTTTTTTCTTCCCTTTCTTCTCTATCGCGTTTGATTCGACGAACACCACCCGAGTGTATTTTGTCGCGAGCAGAGAGAGACAGAGAGAAATTTTTCCGATCGTTCGCTACGAATAACCCCGAGATCCCGTGTGCACCGGCCTTGGTACGCGCCGCTCGATTGACAGAAACACACCCGTGTTTTCGCCCTAACCTTCCCCACTCCAAAATGGCCGAACCCAAGCTACGCCCGAGAAAACCCGTCACGGTGGCTCGCGGTCGTGTTATTTTGTATAGGGAGTCGATCGAAAATATTGTCGGAATTTTTTCGAATCGTTTCCCGTCGAAACACACTTTAACTTTGGCAACTGGAGAGCAGGACTGATTGACACGAAGGATCGTAGACACCGGACGAGTCCATGGTTTCGCTGGAGGGGAGTACGGCAGCTTCGTTCAAGAATGAACCACCGCGATAATGGCGGGAATGTAGACACGCGCGAACAGATTTACACGAGTTTGCCGCGAGAAAATCTTTCCCGGTCACACACACGTCTACTACACTGTTTTTCTACCGGGATTGCTCGAAATCGCCGCGGGGAGTCTGTTTTTTCGCAGTAAATCATACGTAACGTTAACTTTCCGATACCACCGAGGTCAATAGACGTGTTCCCATATCTACATCCTTCCATTATATTTGTTTGAACTCTGAATAAAAATATATATAATTACCACGGATCACTCACCGTTGTGGCAGTTTCCATAAAATATATATGATTTAAAAAAGAATGAAACAATTACATATAAACAAGTGTATAAAATTTTTACAATAATTCGTTGATTTAGCATGGCACTTGAGTCTCTATTACTAAAGTGTGTTGTTTTTGACTTAGAAAATTGAATCTCAACCAGCTTCTTTTTGTACAATTAAAACACCTCGACTTAAAAGAGTCGCAAAAAATATTCGATAAATACTATTTTCTTGATATACCTTCTCTGAATTTGTTCAAACGGTCCCATCAATGTTTTCGTTATTTAGTGGACAATCTTTTTTTTTCTTTCAACTTACTGTTACCCAATTCGCCTGTTACTTAATATACGATTGTAGGTTTCCATCTTCTTGTAACAAGCAATTAAATTGTATATTTAACGATTATAAACTCTGAACTTTCTACAACGTTCTTAAAACTCTATCTGGAATATTTCAGCTTCAGATATTAATATTTTAACGACATATATTAATATGTTGTTTCTCATTCAACCTTTCCCCTTTGCTCTTTATCTACTGTTGATGCTTTTATCGCTTTTTATCTTATAGCTTTGGTTCGTTCAAGACACTGTGGACGTATTTTCATTCAGTTCATTGGCCGTTTAAACGTCGGCCACCGCTGGTATTATGTTCATGTATATTTCAATGCCTTTCAAGTAGGTATCTTTGTTCAAATACTCGTCGTGATCGTGGAGGAGAATTTTCGTTTTGTTCATGGGTGAAAAACCAATCGCTGGAATTCCGACCTGGAACACAAATGAAGGGAACTTTACTTTTGGGAATTGTATCGTGTACCTTTATATCAAGTTTCTTTTAACATTGATGCAAACAAATTGGAGTGAAAAGATACGTACTTCTCGCACATAGCGACTGTCTGTTCCACCGGGGAAGATTCCAATCTGCAAAGTTATTCCCAAATCGTCGCAGGTCTTCTTAAAAGCAACCCAATAAGGATTACTGTCATCTAGCTTCGTGTTCTCGATTTTCGGATTCTTTTGTTCAAACGAGTACGTAACATTTTCACCAGCTTCCTGACACCATGTCTTGATCATCGCTTCGAACTCATCGTGATCAACAGAAGGATCCAGACGAATGTCGAAGACAGCAGACAACGTGGTTGGTACAACGTTCGTTTGTATGCCACCCTAAAAAGAATATAACATAAAAAGATTAGCATTTCGCAGTACATTACCCTTGCATTGTATCATATTGACAGTACTTATGTTGAGATCATGTTAATAAATATGTGTGAATCTATCAAAATACTTACTGCGAAGTATAATTTTTCTAAGGGTACAGACATACAGAAAGAACAATTTCTAAGTAATTCAGTATCGTTTCTGAAAGGAATTTCAAACAAATATCTACCTTCAACTGCGTTAAGTTAATAGATGTAACATCACCAGGAAGGAGTTTAGGATTTGCCATCTTTTTTTTTTCTTTCGTTCTCAAGTCCATGAAACGGTCAATTATCACTCTGATCTTTTCGCCAGCCGTGTTGTCCAACAGAAGGGATCCATGTCCAGGAGTGCCATTACACTCGATTTCTACATGCCAGATGGATCTCTCGCCGTAGAACATGTAGAAACATTCCTCAGGTGAGGCTACACCTTCGTCCAGCGCGAAACCAACATTCAGATCCTGGAAGTCCTTGGTGTGCACGAAATCTTTCATGCCAAGAACCCCACCGATCTCTTCGTCAGGCACGAACGAAACGTGGATCGTTCTCTTCAACTGTTGTCCAGCCAGTTTCATTCGACGTATCGCTTCCAGGTACTGTATTCCGACGCATTTCATGTCCTGACTGCCACGGGCATAAATGTTCCCTTGCTCGTCCATGTGAGCGCTGAACGGCGGATACGTCCATTTCTCCTGAACGTTTCATTTCCATTAATACCGTGTGTCATGTGATATCTTCACAATTCTTTAATTTTAACATTAATATACTTACTTCAAAGACAGGCACAACATCCATATGACTGTTCAGAAGAATCGATGTTTCCATTGGATTCGTGCCTACCCATGTGAGAACCACAATTGGTTTGTTTGGGTGGGCATAGTAGACTTTAACGGGCAAGTCAAGGGACTTGGCTTGTTTGCGCAGGAAGTTGACACAGTCATCTGTAAAAAAGAATTCCAAGTTAGTATTATCTCAAGTGGAAAAATAATTATATGTGTTTTTCCTAGTTAGCTATTAAGGGTAGTTATCTCTGGAGTACAAGATGATACAGAAAATGTACAAGTCATGTACAAATATTGACACATGATGTACAACTTGAAGTATTATCAGATAAGAGGCATGTCGTTTCACATGTAAGGAGCTATTGTACTTTATCTTATCATGTGCAAAGCTCGGAATTTCAATCTTATCAAAGAATATTCATAATTTACAAGCAGACATTCAATCATCGTGAATTTATAATAGCAGCTTGCCTTTGCAGTTAGCATTGTCATGTTTCTTAAAATCGAATGAATACAAAATAAGAGGCAAGGTATTTTTGTAGGACTTGAAATTAGGAAGCTTTTCAGCAGCATCCACACAAGAAGAATCAAAGAAAGCATGGGAGCATTGAGAAACAAATGGAAAGAAGAAAATACCACTACATAGATCTATTTTTGTAAATAATTGTGTAACAATGAATATTAGTTTTTCCATATGTAAATAGACGTTTTTAAAATATATGTTGCTCCAAACTTGGTTTTGTTTTTCACCATGAACCCTTATCTCCCGAAAATCTGACGCAACAGAAGCAATCAGCTGTAAAAGTCTTGAAGCCTACGAAAAACACTTCAGAATGGAAACGAAAAAAAACAGTTCCTCCGTAAATCACCGTTGAATCCACGCTGCAAACGTCTCGAACACCTACGTGACCCACTGTGTAGTGATTTAGGTCACCCACGGCTCGTTGCTGGTTGGTCTAATTTACAAAATTCTTTTCCAACTGCACCCAAGCTCGAGAAACTTCGCCGGCCCGTTACGAGCCCCACTCACGTCTCGAGGAAGTAAAAGGAAATGCAAAAATAAAAATAAAATTTCGCCAGGCAGGGTGGGGCATGGCAATGGCTGGATAGCGTCTTCGACGCTACGAACCTCTGTTGCTGGGAGAGATCGAAACGTTCGCTGGCTCCCCTGATACGATACAACAAAAATTATACGACTTTATTGCACATGCATATGCAAACACAACGAACACGCACATACATAAACCACAAATTTTTTTTTTTTTAAATTAAGATCCACGAATATTGTTCAGGTGTTTAGGTCTGATTCACCGTTAGATTGCGAATGTACCCCATTGAAACTGTCACAAATTCACGAATATACTGTAATGAAACACATCTGTTGAGAATTCTACCTTAAGAGTTCCAAGTAGACACAAAAACAGCTCGTTAACTGCTTCATGAAACTTTACGCTGTTCCAAGGAATAAAAATGCATTAAAATCACAGTGTACAATGATCACGGATTTTAAAGTGACGCGGGAGCTCAGGAAGCGTACATGGACGTGCCTGTAAACGTAATTCGCTTAACGAGGAAACGAGGGACCCGACCCCATTCGCTCCGGTGTACGCAGTGCACACGATTTTCACCGTGCATGATACGATATGACAATTTCAGTCGAGATGTTCGTTGGAAACTATGAAAAATAGGATAAAGAATAGTACTCACTGTAGTCGATGTCCGGCTGGACGGACGGTATACGCAGGTACTCGCGAAAATTTTCTACAGCTGTTGCGTCCAGCTGAGCCTGGGACGACGGGGACATTGCGTGACGGATGGGTGCCTGGTGAATCGCCGCGTCGGACGCCGCTAGCTCGACTGTCACACAGCAGACGGCCGCCGTTCATCTGCTGTGGGCCAATTGCCGCTGATTATCAGCGATCACGTGGTCCACGGCAGATCAATCGAATGCGTTGGAACGTGTTGGGCGGGTACTGTTTGAAACGGGGAAACACGATGTGACGTAACGCAACAGATAAGGTGAATCGGTGGAGTAAAAAGATTGTGTGCAATTAACAAATTAAACGGTAGATGTGTATATACAGTGAACGTGAAAATTAAGTACACATCTTAGAAATGTGAGGGTCGAGTAATCCTGTAGCATCCTACTGGTAGTAATACAGTTGGATATGATTTTCATAACATTTTCGAGAAATTCGAGATATTTGGAGCTTTAACCCACGAAAATTTATTAAATATCGTTGAACGTGGTAAATGTATTATGGTTTAGGATGGTATGGCAATCTCTGGGTGTAGAAGAGTTGCTCTTTATTCATAGTACTGTGGAGAAATTTGGATATTTTGGTATTTTAAAATGAAATGACCCAAAATATATAGCGAAGGCGGTTTAATATCGTTTGAAATGAATCCCATACTTTCAAAGTTTGTACTTATTTTTTACTCTCACTGTATATACCCGAGGCAATTCATCTCGATGGACGATCTGTTAAATAGATGGTATACCACCGATTGTGTAACAGTATACGGGGGTATCGCGAGTATAATACAAGGTCGAATATAAATTGCAATAGGCCAATAACGAAACCCGTTCGAAAATGATACCGCGCGGTTTTAACGTGTAATTGACAAGTAGTATAAAAGAATGTTGAATGCGTTTAATTAACGAATCAATGATAATATAAAAAAGTAAGAAAAAATTAAGACGAGAGGTCTTAAGAGGGTTACAGATACGCAATTGGGCGAGATAAATAGGTACCAGTAAGAGAGCGCTTTGGGAACTTAATTCGTAAAATGTATTCCGATTTATTAAATTTCATGTATGCCTAAATATGAGCTCTTTACACGTTACGGGGATAATATATCCACATATAGTATAATATAATATACACACGCGTCCATACGGTATGTATGTATACATATATCTATATATACATATATATATATATGTGTATTATAATATATATGTATATATTACCGTTTTATAGAGTTTGATATCGAAGAAATTGTTACATACATTAATCGGTAGTACGAATTAAATTATCATACAGTATGTAAGATAATGCAACGTGGCTATAACTAGGCACATACATGTAACAGTGAATTGCAAATAAAAAAATTATGTGTTTCGATACTATTATAAAGACGAGTCTTTGTTTACATGTATATATAATTATATACCTACATTGATATATATAATTATATATACATATAAGTGTATATATATATATGTATATATGTACATACAATAATAATAATATTAATAATAATAATCACTATGATCTGTTTTATTTACAACATTGAAACTATTGTACTAACGAGTGTACTTCTTTCATCGTTTTTTACCCACTAAAATGTCGTTATTTAGCTTTCATTTTAGTTTTTTTTTTTCATTAATAGTAATATAACAGAACGCTTTTGTCGCTTATTATCAGAATGTCATTATACAGATACGGTAGGGCAACGATAGAATTGTACAACGAATAATTAATTGCAAGCTGAATGCGCGCGTTTGTATATGTGTGTTTATTTGTTTGTGTGTGTGTATGTGCTGTATGCGTGTGTTTTTGTCTCTCTGGCTAGCCGCAAAAAGCAATCGTGTTACCGGTCCTTTCTTTCTTTCGATGTTATACATATATATATATATATAT